AGCACCAAGGAGTGGTGCTGCGGGACCAACCGGCAGCGCCCCACCTGTTCTACCACAGGCCCCGGGCTTTGCTTCACGTCTCCCTGGTCTGCTGGGGGGGGCACTAGCTGCCGTGTCCCCCCCCCCCCCACCAGACCAGGGAGCCCCGGGCCAAACGGGGCCGCGGAGGACCCGGACCAGACCCGCGGCGCTTCCAGATCAGCTGGAAGTGCCGCGGGTCCGGCCCCGGGTCCTCCGCCGCTTTGCTCCCCGTCTCCCTGGTCTGCTGGCTCCCCCAGCAGACCAGGGAGACGGAGGAGATGGGCAGCGGGACCAGGCGTCCCGCCATTCCAGTCCTCCGGGGTGAGAAAATCCTCGTTCGTAACTGCGGATCCGACATAAGTCGGATCCGCATAACTCGGGGACTGCCTGTACTCCAATTGAGGCCTAATCAATGCAAAATAGAGCAGAAGAATGACTTCTCATGTCTTGCTCACAATACTCCTATTAATGCATCCCAGAATCACATTTGCCTTTTTTGCAACAGTATGACACTGTAGACTCATATTTAGCTTGTGGTCCGCTATGATCCCTAGACCCCTTTCTGCAATACTCCTTTCTGGACAGTCACTTTCCATTCTTTATGCTTGAAATGGATTGTTCCTTCCTAAGTGGAGTGCTTTGCATTTCTCCTTATTAAACTTCATCCTATTTACCTCAGACCATTTCTCCAGTTTGTCCAAGTCATTTTGAATTATGACCCTGTCCTCCAAAGTAGTTGCAAAACCCCTCCCAGCTTGATATCTTAATAATAAAACTTAATAATAGTAAACTGCAAACTTAATAAGTGTACTCTCTATGCCACCATCTACATTGTTGATGAAGATATTGAACAGAACTGGTCCCAAAACAGACCTCTCTAGAACCCCACTTATTACTCCCTTCCAACATGACTCTGAACCATTAATAACTACTCTCTCAGAGTGGTTATCCAGCCAGTTATGCACCCACCTTAGAGCAGCCCCATCTAAGTTATATTTGCCTAGTTTATTGATAAGAAGGTCATATGAGACTGTAATAAGTGACTTACTAAAGTCTAGGTATACCACATCTACCTTTTCTCCCTTATACACAAGACTTGTTGCCTTATCAAAAGAAAGCTATCAGTTATTAAACCACAATTGAATCCAAATATTAATGTTTGTAACTCTACTAAGCAAACAGTTTTCTGCACAGGGGGGCTGAGAGACTGTTGAAATAAATCGAAAGGAATATGTCTGGTAGGTCAAATAACATTTTCCCACACTGCCC